CAGGAGATCCTGAACTGGATAGCGTTCGAAGAAGTTACTGACATTGTCATGTGCTTGATAACCCTGCCCAATTTCCAGCACACGCTAAACTCGAACAATCCGTGCTTGCCTACTGGCAACCGCGGACTTGAGTGCGTTAAAGGGTCTACTGTTTCGAGGGGTGGCCCGGACAGAAGATGCTGTGCCGAGACGATATCAAGCACTTAGTTTAGTCTAGAGGACAGTGGTCGGTGCACAACGAATCATCTTGAAGGTGACCGCGTGGAATTCCTTAACTCAATTGAGGGAAGCGGCAAATGATGGACCCAGATACACAGCTCACATGTTGCGCATTGAGCTTCTGAGCGGGCTAAGAGAGTGCCTGTATTGCCAGCAATGAATTCGGAATTCGCCGATTTCATGGTTGCATGCTGAAATCTTGCCAACTCGATGCCCAGAAGCAGCCAGAAGGAGACGTTAGTCGCCACCATGCATGGTGCCTGCGTAGGGCATGGGCCCTTACAGTGGCAACAGATCTGTGCTATATCGCATGGGTTGAATTACCTCGGTCACTGCGCGATTACTATCCAAACTTTATTGAGGTAGATTATCTGAGGGATACCAGAGCAGAAAACGGGTTGTCACGAAGCTAAAGCACAGTTTTCACGACACGCATACCGGATTCTGTCGTGGATGACAACGGCCCACAGGTTTTCGTGTGATGTTGTTCGCGAAACTTTAGCACGGAGTGGGTTTGAGCATAACACCTCATCTCCTCGATATCCGCCCAGAGGACAACCGGCTAAAGTGGAAAATGCGGGAAGGACCGATCAAGGAATCTAATTATGAAGTCGAAGATGGCAAAATCTGATCCTTTCCTGGCCTTTCTGGACTTCAGCGAACACTCCAACCAGGGAGTAGGATCGTCGCCAGCACAGCAGAATCTGTGCGTAGGCGTTACAAAGACGTTGCTACCACCACTGCAGCTTCTACGCAATGCCCCCGAGGTCTACTGGCATTGACTGCGAGGAAGGGAGAGGCTCACGCCTGCTAATAGCACACCGGCAGCAGATTGTTATTAGATAAGTTCTGCAAAAGATCCTAAAGCAGAGTTGTCGACCAGAGTGATGCAGTCGGGGTAGCAGCCTGGCCCAGGGGAACGAAAGAAATGGGTTAAGGGGTTCGTCGTATAGCACATCAAGGTGATGGCCTGTTGGCGCGAGATACGTGTTGAACAGACCAAACACTCGGACTGTATCGTAGAAACCGTGTCCATTTGAGGCGATCAGCAGAGAGGAGCGGCGAACCTCGTGCTGCACCAGCAACTTACAGAAGTCACCGGGCTACAGAGAGCGCCGAGACAATCGGAGAGCCTGCCTGTTCAAACCGTGCAGAGCCGAGCTGGAGAGTCCTGTCAGCTGTTAGCGACCAGACCAGCTGAGCCTACCTGAGCCACGCGCACACGTAGAGGAACAGGGCAGCCATTTCCGGCGCACCACCACAATGACGTCCATCAGTCCAGCCAGAACCAGATCCGGCGCGGCACGGTCAAGCAAACCAACAGCGTTATGGGGAAACGAGTAGATTTAGCAAAGAAGCTATCACCTGTTAAATATGTAATTGGTGATGTGCGTAGTGACATTAATCGCATAAGTAACGATGTCAATATAAGATCTTTAGTATAGTATTGCTAAGAAGGCTAAATCGCTGTTGTATTTTATTTATAATTTGGTTGATAATGCATGAGAGCCATTCATCTATTTTTCTCAATTATTAACTCTCACGTTTATTGGCATCTATATCACCGTGTACATCGGTTGGGACGTGCGTTATTTATAAAGAGAAGGATGTCACAACACGACTGTTGTTATAATAAAAACAACAAACACCTGAGCGTTTGTTTACCCGCCGACCGCCACTGGTGTCAAACGATAGGAAGGCTTGATATTAAGCAGCTGCCATGCGGCGCAGTAGGCCTTCTTCTTACCTCGGTGAGTTGGCTTATACCTGTATCCCCCACCTTGGTGCTCGATAATAAAGCATGGTGTTCTAACATAACTCTAATACAGGTAGCGTGTATCAGTATTTAACAGTGCTGGGTGTCTGCCGCGGTGCGGGGTGGCTGGTTGTCGGCGGGTGGTAGTGGTAAATAAAAAAAAAAAGTGGGTAATTTCCCGTGTTACACTATATAATAGCCAAAGTAACTTACTGACAGGGAAAGTATGCACGTGAAATGTTTTTACAAACTAATCATACACATTCAATGTTAGCAGTAGTATTTGTGCATGTGGGAGCAAAGAATTGGGGTTACTTTGGGCCATGCATTCATATAAAATTCCTAGAACCTTAATGCTTTATAAAATGAGTATTTTTTCTTCATATGTTAGTTGAAAGACATGCTCCTTGTGTGTTTAACTGAGTGGATAAAAACTAAAAGTTGTGTGGGTGATTATGGGTCTTAGGGATGCATGAAGTCGTAAACCGCGTGTCCTAGTTTTAAGGTCTGCATGAAAAAGCATAAAATGCGCATTAATTTTTGCCGTAGTTTAGCAGGTGGGAAGGGAGGTGCCAGACCAATTTATATACTATGTTACTTGGTAAATTGTGAATTGCCCAAGGTCAACTGCTGAGAACAAACCTGTGTATGGCTTCTCATCCCCCCCACAGCAAACTGAGTTAGCTATGCTTCTGTTGATATGAACACTGCCTGTATTGTATGCAGAGGTCATCTGATATGGAAATATGGATAACTACGGATATTCCAGTAGGTATAGTGCCACATATAGTCTGATGTGTTATACTGGTCTAGTTTCAGTAGTTTGTGCTATATTTGTTGCTTTACTGTTTACTTTCATCTAGGCTCTCAGGCTCAAATTAAGTCTGTTGATGTAACTCCCTGCAAGGGAAATATCTGCGTTCTAGAGCGAGGCTCCAATGTTTCTATCAAGGTGACATTTATACCAAGTAAGCATCTAACAGTAGTGTGCTTTTATTTTTTAAATGGGATATTATCCCAAACTATTCCCTAATAATACAAATGAATTCAAAACAATTAAAATAACATTTGCTGGCATCTAATGGTGATAAAATTATATTTGATACTAACTAATTTCTTTTTTCTGTAACCTCATTGTCTCATAGAACAAGTTATGGCCAAGGGCAAGGTTGTAGTACACGGCGTCATTGCTGGTGTTCCCATTCCATTCCCTCCGCCCGTTGTTGATGCTTGCCAGAATTCAGGACTCACCTGTCCACTAGCAAGTGGAACCCCATACACCTACACTGCTGTTCTGCCCGTATTGAAGGTCTACCCAAGTGTAAGCTGGTTTCAAAAATAGCAAGATTAAGGGAGAAAGAGAGGGGGAGATATTGGCATCCAAGAGAAAATCACGTTTGACTTATTATGATCAGTTTTTAATATAGCCATGTTCTAAAATGCTATTTCCCAGATTAACTAGAAGTTGTAATGTCAATCATTATATGGTTTTCTTTCCATTCTAGGTCATAAAGTTTAAATTGTATATAAATATATTTTGCTTTGCCAATTGCAAATTCACTGTAGCCAGTCAGAGCTTTGACATTTATGTAGTTACATACATAACAAAGTATAGTACAAGTATGTTTGTTACTAATGTCTACAGGTGAAGTGCATTGTTAAATGGGAGCTCAGGGACCAGAAAGGTGAAGATGTCTTCTGCTGGGAGATGGCTGCACAGATCAAGTAGAATGCAGCTTCTATTGCTACTACACTGATACACTCTACTGAAATTCTATATATATACTACCATAACAAGCTCTGTGTGAAGCTTTCTCAGATATGCGAAAGTTCGGGCTACTTTTTAGTATAATTTCATCTATTCCATCTTGAATCGACATGTATTCGGGTTAATGGGCGATGACGTTGCAGGGTGTCGACATCGTGAGTTTGACTAGGTATGTGGTAATCGTGATGTGACAACTAGATTACTAGTGTTTAAGTAACATAGACATGCATGGAATGCCCTACTAAGGTGCGTTCTCAATGGAACAACCTTCACTTTAATGTGAATGCATAATCAGAGTGACTGAGTATCTGTTGAACTTGGTTGTCATATTGTTGGGGGGCAATCACTAATACATGACAACTTGCATGAAGTTCAATCAAGTCACAATGCCTTACCTGTAAGGTCATCAGCTGTACTGGTTTATATGAAATGTAAAAGGAGAGATTTAGGCAATGCTATATGCATCAAGCTGTCATTGCCACTGTATTTCTTAACTTGTAATACTGTGACCGTGAGTTCTCTATTTGCATACTTTCCTACTTTTTATTATAGTGCAACTCATACGATGAAACCTTTCTCATTATACAGTATTAGCAGAATAGTACATATTACTAGGAGTAATTTGAGGTTGTTTATTCTTTATATTACTGATAGTACACATTTTGCCTTAATTGGTGGTGTTCATATTAACATTGCAGTGGCATTTTGAGATAGTTCTCTTAATGTTTGTAATCATTGTTATATACAGTGTATATTTTTCACGATACACATTTTCATCTCGTATCATGATCTGAATTTTATTAACTGATACGTTTAGATGTTCAATGGCAGTAAAGATGTGTTTGTGAGATGCTGAGCACTGTTGTTATATTCTGTGTTGTTAGATACAGCAATGACTGTCTACTATGGCTGCGGTGCTAACGTTTTTGTAACCAGGAGCAGTGAAGCGCATCTTTGTAGCGTTCCATTATTATAAATGTTTTTCGAACTGTGATTCCTTTAAATGAAATTGCCTTCGAAAATGGATACTCATTAGCTGTATATAATATTATACTTGGCCTACAAAAATAAAACCGGTGATGTTTTGTATCAGTAGCATTAATTTGTTCCATGCTGTAATGAATATATTGCCTAGTCATACTGTTATCCCGTTAGCTAGCCAATCGATACATCAGAATGTAGGTGGAGCCGGTTCTAGGACAAATACCCCCCGGACAATCAACCCCCGGACAATTACCCCGGAGAGATCCTATATATAGGCACCTAGGTTGAAGGGATTGGTAGGCATGCATGTGCTTTCTAAATTAAAAGTGGCGATCATTAAAACGGCCGGCTTGCAGTAATGTCGCACACATATCTCCATCTATTCGTCAATCGAAATATCATTATAAGTGTTACTTTATAGCGAGGACACTCTTTCATGAGGCAATGAAGGCTTTTTAAATAGAATCTTTGGCGTTTTTATTAGATAATAAATTGCTATAACTATAACTCGAGGTATAACTAATATATATTTAGATTTAAATATTTACACATCAATCAGTTCTTCATCCTGCTGAGTGTTTTCCTAAGTTACTGCGTCAATATATGGGAGGGGATATGTGTCAAAATTCAAACGTTCAATTGATCGATTGATTGTTTAATTGAACGTTCAATTTAATTCAATTCAAACGTTTAATTGATCGATTGATTGTCAATTGAACAGTCAATTTAACATTAAAGACGTTGATTGATCGATAGATTGTTCAAATTGATGATTGATTGTTCATTGAACAGTCGTGTAAGTTTCAACGTTAGATCTGAGCAATTAAATAACGAATGCAAATTGAATCGCGAATTGACGATTTGAGAATTTGACTGAATTGACAAACTGCAAAAGGCACGAATACTTGAATAGAGTATTAATCATGGAATGGAGAATTTGCCGAGGCTCGTCTATCGAGAATTGTGAGGCTCGTCAATGCGAGCTAATTGCCCGAGGCTCGTTTGCAAAATCAAACGTATACCTACTGGCAGCATTCAGAGGATAGGAAGGCGCGGTAGCACGTACGTTGCTAGGAACGCATGGCGGCGTTTCCACAGTAAGTGCGTGTACCCATGTACGTGCATGTACCGCGTGGTAGTGCGTGTAGTGCGTGTCCTGCAGCGTGGGTGTACCGCGCGTGTACGTGCGTGTACCTGGCTAGGACGCTGCGTGTACGTGTCGTCTCTCGCCCCCCCCCCACTCAGGTGGTTAGTGTTAGGGTACGCATTGCTCGTTCGGCTGCTTGAAAGACCTCAGATGCTAAAATTTCTGAAACCCTTATTTGCGGCTTTTTGCGGGCTTTTTTCCTGCTTGGAGGACGCCCTAAATCCGAACACTTGCTCAAGTCCCCGTATCTCAGGTGAGCTCTCATTCAAACGTAGTGACGTTAGTGCGTGCGTGTGTGAACTGTCGAACAGTCTACGCTAGTAGTAGAGTTCAGTGATTGAGGGGAACTAGGGGGCAATATTTTTCCTTTCAAATAAATAATCCTAATGAAGCTTTCAAACTAGGCAGGAATTTCAGGAATTTGATCCCGGGATTTGATAAAGTTTCTATGGATATTCAAGATGAAACGAGAGAGAGGAAAACACCCTTTTTAAAGAATATCTGGTGAAAATTCAAATACACCCCCTTTTTACAATTCTTTTGGGCGCGATTGTTTGTCCGGCGAAAACTACCCCTTACCGGAGATTTTGGAAGGCGCATGCGTCCCTCCGACCTTCGGAGTGGGGGGCCGGGTGCGTCTACTGCGTGTAGGTGCGTGTACGTGGCGGTACCCGCTGTGTAGTGCGTGTATGTGCGTGTATCTGGGTGTACCCGCGTGTACGTGCGTGTACGTGCGTGATACCTCGTGTACCCGCGTGCACTGTGCGTGTAAGTGCGTGTACCCCGCTGTGTACTGTGTACGCTGGTATACGTGACGTGTCTTACACGCTGGTAGCACGCTACGTACACGCGGGTAAGCGACGCAAGTACACGCAGATACACACACGTACACGGGTAACGCACGTACAGGCTGGTACACGCACGTGGCACGCGGTCACGCACGTACACGCGGTGTACAACGGAGATACACGCGCCGTACAGGCGGGTAGCAGACACGTAAATTCGCGCTTGATTTGTCAATTATCGTCAATTCGTCAAATGCGTAAATTCGGGATTCAATGGCAATTCGTTATTTAATTGCTCAATTGAACGTTTGACTAAATTAACGACTGTTCAATGAAACAATAATTCGATCAATGAAACGTTTAATGATTAAATTGACTGTTCAAATTGAACAATAAATGATCATTGGAACGTTTACAATGATTTATGACTGTTCAAGTGAACATATCAATCGATCAATTGAACGTTTGAATGATTAAAATTGACTGTTCAATTGAACAATCAATCGATGCATTAAACGTTCGAGATGATTAAACGACTGTTCAATTGAACAATCATATCGATGCATTGAACGTTTGACATTTTAGAACGTATCCTCCCATATCAAATCG